GAACACTTTTCTTATGTCAAAGTTCTCTATAATGCAAGTGATGTGTGCTCATTGTAGAAACATTAGAAAACACAGAAAGGCAAAATAATAAATGCTGATGATAAGGTGTACCGCATTTCAGACCACCCCACTTCCCAGAGAGAACAGGTAACAGCTTGTTAGGCGGCTGGCCAGCTGTTTCGGAAGCACATAGATGGGAGGTCTGTGGTGGAACCAGGAGCACTGGGTCACATCTGTGAGATGATAATAAACATACACACCCGTCTCTGCCCCCAGTTCCTGGCACAGAGCTCCGGAAACCCTTGGGACTTCCTCGGTGAAAGGAGTGTGCTTTGTTCTAATGAGAGGAATCCGGGTGGGTCCCTGGATGGGGCTGGTCACCCCAAAGACCAGGCCACAATGTGAAGCTTGGAACCTTCAGCCCTGCCCCCACCCTCGGGAGGCGGAGGGGAGACTGTTGATGATGGATCCCACCTGTGTGATGAAGCCTCCTGGCCATCCTCGAGGGACAGGGTTCAGGAAGCTTTGAGTTGTTACACGTCTATGTGCGGGAGGCACAGCCACCTCTGGGCTCAGGACCCTGCCAGGCCTGGCCCTGTTACCTCTTCCTGTAGCCGTCTTTGTGCGTCCTTGGTAATGGGCTGGTAATCTAGTAGGTAAACTGTTTACCTGAGTCCATTCTAACAAATTATCAAGTTCATCTGTGCTTCCAACCGACCAATTTATAGCTGGTTGGTCAGAAGCACAGGTGCCAACCTGGACACAAGGTTGGCATCTAAGTGTGTGTGTGTGTGTGTGTGTGTGTGTGTGTGAAGTGACTGCGTGGAACTGTAGGACCTGTCAACAATATTCTTTTTCGATTCTCCATCCACCCATCCACCTACACGAACCACTTATTACCACTTACAATTATTGCTGGTCAATTCCACCTGGCCAAAGAAGCCCAGACACGAAATTATATGTCACTATACTAATTTTACTCCAAATATTCTTAATCATAACATTTTCTGCCACAGAGTTTATCTTAATTTATATCCTATCCAAAGCCACACTGGTTCCCTATTACCACCCGGCTGGTGTCACAGAGTTGTTCCGTGTGGAAAGCCTGCACATCGGTGTCAGAAGTGCTGTGTGAGAGCGGAGAGCACAGCTGTGCTGCTCCAAGACAAGATCTCCACACTGCTGTTCACTAGCTGTGCAATCTCAGGCAAGTTACTTGACCTCTCTGCGTCTCCATCTCCTCCCTAGTAAATTACAATGGGAACATGGATGTCATCCATGGACAGGAATGGTCTGGGCCTCAGTGAGCTCACTGATGCCTGGGAAGTGCCTAGAACAGTGCCTGGCAGAGAGCACTGACCTCGTTATGTGCATATGCACTTGCTTAAAGACATTTGGAATCTACCACAGAGTCCAGAGCTGATCCTGGGTCAGGGTAGCAGGGTGAATGGTGGCCCCTCAAATTCATGTTCATGTGGATCCTTGAATTCGACCTTATTTGGAATAAAGATCTTTGCACATGTAATGAAGAATTTCAAGATGAGGTCATCCTGAATTAGGGTGGGACCTAAATCAAATGACGGGCACCTTTATAAGAAACGAGACGGGACCGGCCAGTGTTTCTCAGTGGTTGAGCATTGACCTATGAACCAGGTGCTCATGGTTTGACTCCTGGTCAGGGCACATGCCCGGGTTGCGGGCTCAGTCCCCAGTGGAGTGTGCAGGAGGCAGCTGATTGACGATTCTCTCTTATGAATGTTTCTATGTCTCTATCCTTCTTCCTTCCTCTCTATCTAAAAATCAATAAAGAGAAAAAAATTTTTTTAAGGAAACGGAGAAGGCAGCCATTAGAAATGGGGCAGAGACTGAGGGCTCAGCCACAGCCCAGGAACCCCAGGAGCCACCGGAAGCTGGAAGAGGCAGGAAGGGTCCCCCCCAACCCTTTCAACACTTTCATCTTAGACTCTGGCCTCCAGACCTGGGAGAGAATAAATGTCTATTGTTTTAAGCCAGCTAGTTTGTGGTAATTTGGATAGCACCCATGGGACACAAATACACCAGGTACTATGGACTGAACTGTGTGCCCCCAAATTCCTATGTTGGACCTCAATGTGACTATACTTGGAGGTGGGGCTCTAGGGGCTAATAGATTAAATGAGGTCATAAAGGTGGGGGCCTAATTTGATAGGACTGGTGGCCTTAGAAGAGGAAGAGATCTCTCTGTCTGTCTCCACACCTGCAGAGGCCGTGTGAGAGAGGAGGTGGCCACCTCCAAGCCAAGAGAGGAGGCTTCCGAATGAAACTGCCTTGCCAGCACCTTGGTCCCAGACTTCCAGTCTCCAAAACGATGAGACATAAGTTTCTGTTGTTGAAGCCACCGGTTCGTGGTATTTTATTATGTCGGCCTAGCTGACTGACATACCAGGTAACCCAGCCCTCAGTGATGTGGGGATCGCTCAGGAAGGCACGGGCCAGCACCTGAGGCCAGCACGCTGGGCTCAGCGGCCCTCAGGAGCTCGATCCAGCAGCATCAGCAGTCTGACCACGTGTCGCTGGAACGAGGCTGGCAAGCAGGCCACAGAAGACAGGAACCTGGCGGGGTGGCCCGAGAGCCCAGGCAGAGTCCAGGCCCCGCAGGCCAAGGGCTGCACCAACAGCACTGATGTGAACCTCAAAGACGGTGCTCCCTGAAGGTCACGAGCTCTGAAAAATGACCCGCAGGGACCACGAGGAGCTGGACGTGGGAACAGGAAATAGCTGAATCAGATTCATCTTGGAAAATACGAACTCATCCATCTGGGTAAAATTAATCCAAAACACAGGATGAGACAGCACAGCATGGGACAGGGAGGGGGCTGGCAACCCTCAGGGCAGCCGGAAGGGCCAGCAAGAAGCTCATCTGGGTGCCCTCTCTGATTTTTTGGGGGGTGGTCTTGGTGTGGGGAGCAGGAGGCTGGGGACATAGGCACTTGGGAACCCCAAGCCAGGGTTTTTGGAAATAGGGGCCTGAGGTCTTAGCTTCCTATCTGGCTGGACAGTGACCTGGTGGTCCAGGGAGAGGAGCATGCGATCCATGGCCTTGCCCGCTGGTGCCCAGGCCTCCACGCAGTGGGCACTGAGGCTCTCCTCACCCTCACAAAACCTCACTGCACCTGTGGAAGCCCTGTGTTCCTCAATTTTGCAAGTTGCTCAGTGCTTTAAATACTCACGTGTGATGGATCATTAAAAGCTGCCTCTGCCCCCCAGGACAGAACCCAGGTGCCCTGGCCAGAGACAGTGGACATTAGAAGAAAAGGAAATGGTCTTCTCAGGGGATAGAGGGCTGCTCCCTGAGGAGAGGTGGAACCCACCAGAGGGGTGGAACCGACCAAGGCTCCCACCCTTTACAGAGCCTCCTGGGTGTGTGTTCGGCGGCTCAGGAGGGCAGGCTAGGAGCTGGTGTGGGAGGCTGAGCCCTGGGCGAGGCACCTGCCTCCCTCAGCCCCGTGCCCGCTGCATGTGGGGTGATGGAGGAGAAGGCTGAGACCGGTCCCATCTGGCCTGTCCCACCTAGTCTGCTCTAACCAAGAGACTCCAAAACGTAGTGCCTCAAGCAGGAGAGACACAGGAACGCTCAGTATCTCCAAGACGTTAGCTTTCCCAACCCGATCTGTAGATTCAGCGAAATCCCAATCTTGGAAGAGGAATTGCTGGCTGTGATTTTTTTTTTTAATTGGATATGGTTGCCGAACTGGCTTTCAAAAAGACCTCCCACAAATTGCCAATTCCCTCACACCTTCAACACGTGTGATTAAGTGTTTAAACGCTCGACAAGGCGGCAGGTGGGCTTGTCTCGCCTGTAGGTGCACTTCTCCGATGATTGGACAGGTCAGGCAACGTGGCACACGGTTATGAGCAGCGTTTCTTCTGTGGCTTGCCTATTGCTGCTCTTGCCAATTTTTCTATTAGATCATTGTTCCTTATTTATCTGTGGACAATTTCATAATTACATGAATTAGACTTAACTTCAAAATGTGTCACAGACACTTTCCTCTGGGTTACTTTTAAATTTTAAACTTGTATGTAGTCAAGACTATCATTCTTTCCGTGTTTCAGGTTTATGGTGACACTTGGACAATAAAAACATTCATCCCCTTTCCAGAACCTTCTTCGTTTGATCCATCTGGATCTTATTTTGGTGTGAGGAGTGAGGGAGGGCCTCGACTTCCATTCTTCCCGATGGCCGCCCGCTGTCCCAGCGCCATTCAACTGAACACGTCCTGGTTGGAAGCGGCCGCTGCACCAGCGCGGTCCCGGCTCCGGTGTCGGCT